GTGTCCTTGGGCAGGAAAGGAAGGCCGCTACTACCTCGCAGCTTTCACCGCCACAACACTCCTCAAAAGAAAGAGCCAATGCTCGACAGCATCCAAGCTGCAAAGCAGTTTAATGGAGTTTTGTTTGTGGAGTCTGCTGGCCTCAAGCAGCGACACTAAGAAACTTTTCGTGGGCTTACCTAAATCACCTCTTGTTTGGCACATAGTTTCTTCTATAGCTACTGTGTCTCTCCTGCGACATAGCTAGCCGAGGAGATCCATGAGATCTGCATCTATATATTTAGTGGTGTGCTAGAAACAGTGTGCTGCTCTTGTAATTTCTATAAAGATCTTGATGTAGAAAAGCAGTGTGAAAAGGGTCTATAAAGGTCATCATCTTTTTTGTGAATGCTTAGATGTTTATTCTACATGAAACAAGCCTTTTGACAGTCCATGGAATCCAAATTACAGCAGAAGAATCTGTATAACCTAAGGTGCAGGAAAAGGCTGTGGAGTCACTTGCGTAAGTTTCTTTAATGAACAGGAAATATTTAGAGCTAAAACTAGTATTTTTATTGCACGAGGATGTGCGACCAAATGATATAGCATACCTTCATTCACGGGAAATAGTTATGCAACAAGGAAAGATTGTCGTGGTTGATATCATTGTCCTCAACTAATGTATTCAATATCGAAGCTCACAGATAACAAAAAAGTTGGGAAGAGTTGAATGATAAATGGATTGGAACAGACAAGGGGGGCGGTCAACTGTCAAGTTGCAAGTCAAGGCTATATCATACATGGTGGTGATCGAAAATGATCACTACTTCTTAGTCAATCTCCATCTTTTTTTTCATATATAAATATTTTCGGCAGCTCTAGTTTTCACCTTACTCATCTTTCCTTACATTCTTAAGATTTATTTGCGTCCACTTCTTCTTATGGGATAATTTTGGGTCATACTTCTTGGATGATAGATAATAGGTGAATTATGTTAAAATAACATGAGGATGATTTTTGGTTCACATGGAATGTTGTACTCTCTGCTCATTTTTCACCGCCCACAGAAGCCTTGTTAGCTACTATCACAAAGACAAAACTTCAATCAAGATTAGGATATTCTTCCTGATAGATAGATAGATCATGAACTATAAATACGATATTCGAGTCTAAGTTTAAGCTGAAAGTGCAGATGGGGCCAAGATATACATGCCGTGTAGACGATCCTAAATAAGATAGACAAGCCAAAGATCCGGAGTATAGTACAGGCATCAGATTAGAGGGAAGCACTCACGTAATCATCCAGATTTGAACAAGAGGACAGCCTTCGAATCCACATAAAAGTAAAGGAAGTGGTTGGTCTCATGCGTTACATATGATCCTGCACAGCCAGAAGCCAAATTAAAAAGAATTGCTCTACATAGTTGAGAAACTTGTGGTGAGAATGCAGGAAAAGATGAATGGAAAATCAAATGCTGATGTATCTGCGAAACAGGAATTGCCAGATTGATACATCTTATATGGACTTCACACTTCCAGATAAAATTCATTAACCTAAAATAGTTTGCACAAATACCTCATCAAACACCGATGAAAGGTATAACATAACCCACAAGAAGTTGAAACAATGTTAAAAGAGCGACGACTCAAGTCGTCCTTTGTCTATGGTGGAGAGTACAACAGCGGGACAAATCTGAAGGCATGATTCTCTGACAAAGTCATCAAAAGCTTTTCAACATTCACTTTTGGAAAGCAACAAAGTAACAAGAATTTAGGACGAAGGATAACTGATAGGAAGCCAGCTTAAGATATACGAATGTACCGGACAAGAAACATAATTATGAAGCATGTATATCGATATGGAATAGCAACACAACACAAGACAAATAGCACAGTACAGCAAATCTTGGGGAGAAAAAAGGATTTGCCGTTGAACCAGTCCAACCATGAACCAGCACTGACCGGTAATAGCCAGCATTTTTTTGTGACACCAGAAAATTTGAGTCATTAAACTGGCCAGTTTATCATTAATAAACCAGTCCGATAGAATACTGAAACAGGTAACAAACTGAGATTTAAATCCTTTGTTTTCTCTTCAAAACAATAAATTCTGAGTGACACCGAAAAATACCATCCAAAAGATAGACAAAGTGTTCTGCCATAGAAAGTGATAATTATAACAAAACTTAAAACAATTACTATTGTGAGAATAGTGTGGTTTAAAAATCACATATGTATCTCTAACTTAAGCAACCAAATGGCAGAAACAAGAGCCAAGAGAAATTCTATTTAGAAACTTTTGGCCATAGATTTTTCCACATTAACGATAAAATAATAGAACATGAGGCACCAATTAATTTCTTTTTTAAACTTCTCCACATTAACAAGATTATAGATCAAAAGACAATACATGACAAGAATTCAAAAACTGTTCTAGCATTTTTATTTCAAACCAAATTTTGTGAAAGTGTAGTATTTCTTTATCAAGAAATAGAAAATGGCAAGGCATAAGCCCAAATTGCTATATGCAAAATCTAATCGTATAATTCCAAAGTATTGTGTGTGCATTTCGGGTGAATAACATTATATTAGATTCTATAAAACCTAGAATGTAAAACATTCTCTATCATGGTTCAATTGCAGAGATATGGTATTAGCTTTGTGCATTTTCTAGTGTGACAAGAGAAGGATTAGTCGGTTCACCATTTAGGGATTACAATTTAATTATGAAGAACTGAATGATTAACATATGGATCTATAACTCCACAAATCAGATGCATGGTCATAAGAGGAAGACTTCACAACTAGAGAATATAAAAAGTTGGCTACCTAGAAATGGAAAGAAAATTTTCAAAGTCCTATCCAACAAAAAAGAGCAACCAAAAGATTATTATTGCACACTCCTTGATCAATCTTAAATTAAGAGTCTCACCATCTTGCTAGCCTCTTAAAAATTTCTGAATGACTAGTCCCATTGACTATAGGGCAACATTCCAAGGACAGCAAATCCCACAAACCATCACTCATTCATTTAGTACTTTGTTATACATGCACTAGATATTGTTCTCTTTTTTTTTACTGTGACCATGAAGGTTTAAGATTCCTTTTGGCACTAGCTGATCACTAACCAAATTGGCCTGATCACCTTAGAATCTTAATTATTTAAAAAAAAACCTAAATCTTTGAAAAATCAGCATAATTTTATGTTTTTTAAATCTGTTTGTTTGATTTTCAAATTATTCTTCCACGAACTTCCATCAATTAATCTGATTTAGCTATCCTTGTTCATAAATCAATGTACCATTATAATATGGTGTCCAAAACATGCAACATCTGAACAATGATGCCATGCAGCACCGGTATATTGCAATTAGCAAATTGAACAGAAACAGCAGCAAAAATGTCTATGGCTATGACAGTCTACAATGATCTGCATGCCACAATACACAGATGCAGCATCAATTTTTCTACGGCCTCACATCCTAGAGACAAAAAACCTTCAGCTAATATTTTGCATCAACTGTTTCAACTGAATATATTCCCTTCAAATAAATGAAACACATCAAATGTGGCACGGGATGGAAAAAGTTTGCTGTAGTGCAACAAAGTGATCAAGAAATGCAGTAGACAGAAGACAATGGATGGAAGCAACGTTGATAATTCCCTCCATTTGTAATATAAACATAGGAAATAAGTATAGCATGAAAAGTATTATTAGAGGAATAAATGAGCTGAGCTGCAAACAATTACTATCATGAAAATGTGTCTGAATTCTTAAGTACCCTTCATTAGAATGAAATTACCTGTATGGTCATATTTTCAGTGCGACACTAATAGGATGGGTGATCCAGGACTCCAATAATACACTCAACAACTCATAGTCACACAACCAAGAGATACATATCACAGGTAAACAGGTCAGGATAGTCCCACTTCATGTCATCTTATGCAGGTGAAAATGATGTTACACTGAAAAGTTTTGGGGCTTATGGGGTGGGGAGGAGGCATTAGACTACTAAACATTAATTACAATTAATACCCTAAGTTTAGATGTAATCCAGAAGCATTTATCAAAGATAGCACATTTGTGATTAATCACTACGATTACAATGGCGACCTAGGTGACTAATGCTCAAATCAAGAAAGAAGTTTTTCTAGGCTAGCAATCTTTCTACTTACAAGTATAATAAGGCTATTCTTATTGACTCTCTCTAGACACCATATATGCAAGAGCATCATGCATCCCACCACCTTTATTTTTTTGCTTGACTTCCAGTTGCTATGAATTTTTTATTCCAGCCACAGATATAACCTCTCTGTAAGGCTGTGTACCCCTCCCAAAATCCCACATTAGAGGAAACTTCATGAACCGAGTATACTCTTTTTAAAGTAAAAAATGAAGGTCGCCAATTAACTAAGCAAATCAGGACAGGGAGATTAAAAAAAGGTGTGATTTTTCCCCATGACGTATAATAAATCTCCTATATACTTAGCACAATAGTTCGAATATGTAATCAAAGTATGTAAACAAAAAGGATATCCCTTTACACTTATCAGCTAACCATCTGAGTCTCCTTGATGACACAGCAAAAAAACTCATACATGAGACTGACTGAGACTATAATAAAAGGACTCAATAGAGTATATAAACAAAGAGGTCCACAAAGGAAGAATATTAAACTCAAGTTTTAGAGCTAATAAATTATTGTAATGAAATAAACTGGAGTAAAATATGCAGAAGCCTACTTATTAGGGTTCAGTTAGAGGATAGACCCAAATTGTAATATTGGAAGGATGATCTTTGGTGCAAGATAATCAATTCAAGAGAACAAACCCTGGATTCCATTACTACCTAAGATAGACTTTATCTATAGATGCAGGGCCACAAAATAATAAGTATTATAATGAGAAATAACACAAAGCATGTGATTTGGAGGGGCAATGCACCAACTTTCTTTTTCCTCTGTAAAACATAGAGGTACAGGGGGTTTACTCTTGGCTTGCTTCCACATATCAGAAGACCTATAGTGATATGCTGGTCAGCTGGAAGATTTCAAGTTCAAAACATTCGCTGCTGCCAACTAGAAATAACCAAGCTCACTACTACAAAAGTAAAAACTGACTTGGAAAATTATTACCAGTATGCAATCAAACCATTTGGTAACTGTGCTCCGATACTCATAATCAGCAAAACTTGTGTACAACTGATAAGAGATGAGTACAAATGAACATATATTGAAGAACCAACATGGAAACTAGCGACATGTCAAAAGGTGAGGCAAGCTTGCAGTCAAAAATATTCTAGCAAACTTGCAACCAGACACGTTATGGAATAACTGTAAGCAAGAATCGGCACTAAATTGCTTAACCCCATTTCTTAATATTAGGATAGAGATCTTAACATTTCTCCAATCTGAAGCTTCGTGTGCTTATCTATAAGTTCATTTATGCTCAGAATGGCGCAATATCCAAAGGCAAAAACCACATCGTATTCTAACTAACATCGTTATAATGCTTCAATAACTCTCCGATCATTAATGTTCATCCTCACAACCAATGCAGCTAAATCAGTATCTCTGAAATCACTCTGCGGCCACAATCTACAGCTAAGTACAATCTGAGGAAGAAATAAGCATTATCGCATGTTTATCATCAAAGTTCTCCAATGCCCGTAACTAAAACTGCTTGCAATTTGGCCTGACCAATCGATCAGTTATCACTCCAATATTCTACGGGTTTTTCTCTACGAAATAAACCAAAATGTGAACTAAAAGATGAACAGAAAATTCGAGAAAATGATTTTTAGGTTCAGAAGGTAAGAATGAAGACAAAATACGAAGGGAAAAAGGAAAGGATGGGTACCAAAGTTGCGACCAACAATGCAATGCCACGTTGCCCCGTACTTCTTATCGAATTCCTTCTTGATGTACTCAGCGATGTCCTTCTCCAACCGGTGCTTCTCGAACGCCTGATCGCAACAACAAGATCACGAAGAAACGAATCAAAGGAGAAATCAATATTCCGCGAGCAAAGTTGTCCTCCGACCGACGAAACGGAACGAAGGAGGCGAGATCAAAGGAGGCGTACGGCGCGGGCGCAGTCGATCGCGTCGTTCCGCATCTTCTCGCTCATGTCGATGCTCTTCAGCACGATCTTCGGCGACGCAGGCGCTGCCGCCACCAGCGCTGCCCCTCCCCCGCCGCTCTTGCTCTCCTCCGCCATCGCTCTGTCCCTCTCTTCGTGGAACAAACGAGGAGAGATCAGAAAGAGGGAGAGAGCAGACCGAAGAAGCTTCAGGCCGAGGAGGATAGCAGAGGACAGGGCGGGGTGTCGTCACCACCATGTGAAGCTAGGATGACTCACCGCATAGGGTGGCCGAGCGCCGCATTGGGCGGTGACCAGACACAGGAAGAGGACCTCCCATTGGTTGCGGAAAACGGCGGGTCCACTTCGAGAATCTTCTCCTGTGTTTGGCGGCGCGGTTGAAACAGGTGATCCGCTACCAACGTGGTGCTGACGTAGGTGAATAGATCGGGTGGGACCCATTTTTGAAAATGACGATTATATATATATTTTAAAAAAATATATAAAATATAAATTCTCAAAATACTACTAACTTTCTAACATTGTGTATGCTATGGGAAAATAAATAAGAAGAAAAGGGAAACAATGAGAAAGAGAGCATATGGAATCTTACCTCTATTGCTTTGTCTGCATGTATATATATTAAAAATAATAAAAAATAATAAAATATTATATTCAAGAAGAAAATTAGGATAAATTATTAATTATTCTTGATTAATTAGACATCTATCGAGTTGAGCCATTATTTTTCTGTTAGCAGCACCAGTACCTTGATTATTCTAGGAGAGTCAATTACTCACATATTTTATATCAATCAATGCAGTAGTATCCATGTAATCATTAAAACTTTGAAGTTGACTTTCTGAAAACTGTCTACCCTCCACTTTTTCATTTGTGTACCGAACAGTATTAAAGTCACCAAAAATAATCCATAGTACATTAAGATAGCCATCTACAATGTTAGTCAGATTAGACCATAGAGTATTTTTTTTATTGCATACTGTCTGAAGCATATATACGAGTGAAGTTGAATTTATAGTTTTTATTTTTGTCCTCTACCTTAAGATGGATGAATTAATTAGTAGTAGAAATAAATCAGGCATTAATAAAGTTAGGATGCCATAAGACCCATATTCTACCAAAAGTTTTATGAGAGTCATTGGTAAACAGTTCTGCGTCCGGCCATATTAAATTCTTTTGAGCTTGAACGCACGATTGTTTAATTTTTGTTTCCACTAGAATAACAATATCATATATGGTAGACTTGATTATTCTGTTAAGCTCCCGACATTTTTCAAGCTTATTAAGTCCACGAACATTCTAGCAGGTTATCTTCATCAAAAATAAAACAAATGGGAAAGGTAGTAAGGTATTTATCTTACGACTTTGGATAGACAGTTCCATCCTTTTTCTTATCCTTTGATTTTGCATTTTCCTCTTACACAATATCCTTACCTTTTAAGGCTTTATTCCTATATTTATCCACTTCATCCACAACTTGTAGATGTTTAAACTTTAAATACCTTGAGTCATGTAGTCATTGTTGGCAGGGTTTATTGATGCACGATAGAATTATTGAGGCACAATATCCTAGTTAGTACTTGTTGGGGTTGTTGAATCTCGTATTTTGATGATGAAACTAATCGATATGTGTTTATATTTTAATCTGTGTTTTGAGTAATGTAGGATGCTTTGATCAGGATGAGACAATTAAAGCAGGAAAAATCATGTTGGGCTGGAGAAACATGTCAGAATATTAGATGTCGGGCCGGTGGATCGGTCGACGTATCGACAGAAGGCTTCATGCCATGGATTCGGGCATCGAGCCAAGAAGAGCAGATATTACGCCAAGGATATCGGAGTTGCGGAGTCAACTGGCTGATTGGGCAATAGGCTGTAAGAGAGGACGATGTTGAATCTCGTATTTTGATGATG